TCACTGTAAGCCTTAATCCTGTCTCTCTCTCCCGTAGGGGGAATATCGAAAAATTTCTTCTTAGTGTACTTTCTGTTGACGTACCCTATTAAAACACAATCAAAAACGCAAAAACCCGCATCTAAAATAGTATAAATAGAAGCAGAATTCTTTACCGTAAGCCTTAAGCCTAACCATCTCCCTTCAGTGGGGTTGAATTTCGACACGTATATTATATAAAAACACGTGCGTATTCGAATGCAGCGTTGTGGTAAAATTTCAAAGGAATCAGTAAGAACAAACGAACATTACATTTTTATTTATATAAACAGATAGAAGATGACCTGCTTTAGTTCATTTTCACAGAAAAGCATAATGCCTCACAGAAAAGCAAACTTAAGGCGTCGTACACGTAGCGCCATCTGTTGGACATAAAAGCCTTAAACATAGATGATATTTAATTTATATGAATGTTTAACGGAATAATATATAGCCTATGTCCACCCTGAAGTTCTATTCTAAATATCGGTGAAAGAATTTTTGAAATCGAATGAGTAGTTTCGGAGATTACCCGCTACATCCAAACTTACTTACTTACATATTTACATACTTACAAACATTACCTCTTTATAATATTAGTATAGATGAGCATTTTGAGTCATTTATGGGCAGTTTAACTTTCTTACTGCAATTTGAGATCTTTGTCAGCAATTCATTACAGAGTGTAGGAAGAGTGTCACAATTCTTATCTGATACTAATAAAACCGTGTCATCGGCATAGCCCTGTAGTAAATGATTTCCTTCAGAATTATTGAGAGTGGTGAGTAGGTCATTGTGGACAATTGTCCACAACCCAGGGCCAGAGATTAAGTTCTGAGGGCAACTCAATGTGGCTTGACGTGTATAACTGATATTGTTATCATAGAAGACCACTTTCCTATCTGTCATGAAGCTTTTAATTAAATAAAATAAGTTGTTAGGAATTTGGAGTTGCTGTAATATGGCAGGCCACCACAAGTTGTTCAACGCCCCTCTAAAATAAATTGATACAAGAAGGGTATGCCTGTCATTTCTTTTAGCTCTATATATGTAATCCATAATACTGTTAATTGCTGTTATTGTAGATTTGCCTGGAGTGAAGCCATGTTGGTCCTGGCTAAGAGAATCTTAGCTTTTCTCCTGACAAAAGCTAAGATTCTGTTAATCACATCTATCCAGAATTTTTCCCAAAATAGGTAACAGGCAGATAGGCCTGAAATCTTTGGCTGATTGAGCGATTTCGGTTGGTCGTTTTTTCATAAACTTAATTGATCCGGCTTTCCAAAATATTCAGAATGTATCCCAAGTTGAGACAGCGATTATACAATGTGACAAAAGACATGGGAATTGCCAAGAAGGCCACTTTGACTATTCTCCCTGTTACACGGTCTATTACTGGAGCTTTTTTATTATTGATTAGCTTGATTGCGTGGTTGACTTCATTCACTGAGAATATACTATCGTTACTTCGATTCGTTGGGTAGTTACAGTTGTTACAGGTATCCCTTTGGGATTCGTTGTCATGATCAGGATTATCGGTTGGAAAATGATAGTCAAAAAGTTCCTGAAGTGTCCAGTGCAAAGAATTCATATAAGTCCCTTCGGAAGTCTTGAGTGTGGAGGGGATATCTGTGTCCCCTCAAAAGCAATGTAGCATGGGTCATTAAAGCTACTACAATATTTTCTCCAGGCCTATGTCGTTTTTTGTTTATGAAACTTTTATACTCATTGAATTTTAGGATGCAATTCTCTCTTTGATTTATTCTGATCTGCTCGATCTGTTGTCTCTGTTAGAATTTCCTGAGTTTTCGTGCTTTCCTGCGGTGTGCGTCAAGCTCATCGTCCCACCAAGGAGCGTTTGTCTTTGTTTTTGTTTTCTTTCTACTAGTAGCGTGGTAAGTGTTGAGAAGAAATTCCATTAGGTTGCTGATACAGCTATCAATTTCATTTTCATCCATGTGAATTATAGGTTTCTCCAGGTTCCAGTTTTCCCGAATGATTTCTTAAAAGGATGGCAAATTCCAAAGGATGAAAAATTCTCATTGTTGTCTTCTGGATTAATTTCAATGACAGTCTTTATATAGCAGTGGTCACTTGCTGTTGGTCCATCGATTGTAGAGCACAAAGTAATCTTTGGGGCCATATGGACATTGGCCAAAACAATGTCCACCCAACAGTCACCCTTTGTAGAGTGGTAGGTGGAGAGAGGACTTGTATTACAAGATGTTAGATAAAGGGATGCTATAAGTCCTAATATTCGGTAGCCCCTTTTATCCTCGTAAGGACTATGCCGAAGGAATGCCTTTGTGTTGGTATTACCTGAGATTAGCCAAAACCTATCTGCAATCATATTACTAATTCTGTCTAAGTCCTCAAACATGGGTTCTATTTCTTCTAAAGGCGAGGCGTAAGTACTGGAAATGAAGATGGTTTCTTGCTGTAGGTTAATTATACAGGTTGTGATGTATTTCGTGGAGAGATGCGGAGTATATTGTGCTGCTAGTTGAAGACTCCTTATTAAAATGGCAGCTTTGGGGTCAACAGCTGATCCCCTAGGCGGGATTATTTTCCAGTTGTTATAGTTCATTAGTTCACCTTTATAGAGATATGACTCTTGAACAATTACTATATCAGCATTCCACTCCTCTGCTGTCTTGATGATGAGTGAAGAGGGAGCTTCCCCCTTTGTTAGTTAATTTGAATAAGGGTAAGTCCCATCCTGTTATCCTGAGTGTTGAGATTTGTGTTTGATGGAGTAATATGCATCGATTAGTTACAGGCATGTTTGTTCTATTAATCAGTTATTCTTATATCTTAATCAGTATTGGGCATTGTGCGCTAAGTGGTCACAGTTTTCTTATCTGGTGTTAAGTTTTTATTGTTCTTAGTACATTTTATGCATGATGGGATAGTATTCGTTTGCTGGCAGTCTTTGAAACGATGTTTTCTGGAGCAGAGACTGCACGTCTGTTCTTGTGTACACTCCCTTGCCCAATGTCCAAAACCAAAACACTGGTAACATCGTGTGACTGGGACAAAGTCGTCGTCCCTAATGGTGGCCCATGACGTATAAACTTGTTTTTGGGCTATTATTAATTTACGGATGTAAGGAGTTTACTGTCATTCCTACATGGCGACAATTTTCTTTGGTTCTTCCCTTTGTTATTATCATACTGATTTTGCAATTTTCTTCTATCATACCGCTTTCTGTTTCTCCCCAAATATCATTTTGTTGAACTATAGTGTTGATTATTTTATCGTCGGGGACACTTAGAGCCACATTTAAAAGTATGATGCGTGGACGTCTTCCATGTGATGTTTTGCATGTTATCTTTCTGTTTACTTCTTGTATGTTTTCTATAGCTTGTTTTAGCCTCTGACCCTGGTCTTCATTTCCACCTGTTATACAAACTTCATTCTCCCTGATTTTTTAAAATTTCTTTCGCCTTAACTTTAATTTGGTGAGGTTGAATTTTATTCTTTATCTGATCAGTTATTTCTTTCATGTCGATATTTACATTCTCCTCGCTGTTTGGATACAGTAGAATTGCACTGTTACCCCCTGTTCCTCTCCTGTTACTAATTGCCTTAGTTGTTTGACACTGAATTGGGGCAGCTTTAACAACCTCAGCGTAGGTGGGTTGACCTATTCTATGACAATGTCGGTGATCATTGGATCTTATTTCATTCATAGTCTCTACTAGTTGAGGTATTATGTTATCCTGATTTTCTTTATCTTTTCCTACTCAAATTTCTTTCAAAATCCCAAACATTTGTTGTATTGTAGCATAAGGCTGCATAACTCTATCTTTAACTTGTTTACGCTTCTCGGTTTAAATGTTAGATTTGTAGGGCTCGGGTTTGTGCTTTAGCCTCCTTAAGTATCTTTAATAGTTGAGTATTGTCTCGTTATTAATATCCATGACAGTGTTCTCCATTCTATCCTGAGAGGGGTCCTTAAAATCTGTGTCCTCAGTTAACTCAATTCCTTCCATGTTAACCACAAAAGGAGTTGCAATACCAACACAATATCAATTAAACCAATGAATTAATAGCCTTCCAGGGATTAAAATCAGAGACCCAGCCAAACTAGTAAGCTTACTAATTATGACTAATAAATTATTAGCCTAAAGAAATTAACATAAAAACAATAACTAATTCTCCTGAGGGTATGTTAACTTAACAATTAAAAGGAAAAAACCGTTAGAACAATGAAAATCCCGACAATGAAAAACTATGAACATCTAGAATAAAATTTTAAAATTTAAAATCGTTACAGTTAAAGAAAAAACCGTTGAAATCCGTTTAAAGACCGTTATAAAACGGTTAAGACGATCCTTGAACGGTCATAACGGTCGTTATAAATTTAAGTGTTCACAAATTCTCCATTGAGTTAACATTGAAAATATAAACTGCGTAAAACAATTAAAAATAAATCTATCCCTACCAAAATTTACTAACAGGTACACCTTGTTGCTTTTAACAAGACAGTGCAAGTACGCCCCCTTCTGACAATCCACACTACCGCTAAAGCCGGTTAAAGTTTTCGGATTTTGACCCCTAATAACTATCCCCCCGATTCAGACACCAGAACAAAATTAGTAACAAACTGACCAGAAGAATTTCCCGAGTAAGACAACACAAACGGTTAGTCCAGGAAAGCAGAATATCCAAAGTAATCCTTCGAAAACTGAGGAGCACACACAAGCACAACTTCCATGAAAAACCAAATCTCGGCCTTTTGAGAAAAGGTTACACAGAAGTAAGTATAAGAAGTATACTGTATTTTTATATGACGTTATAATGCCAGTAATGCATCCGAATTATTGTTTCGTGACTGTATAAAGCAATTTAATATTAAATTTTTTAAAAACCTTTATTTTCAGAATTCCAAACAAAGTTATTTGAAAATTTTGTATGAAGATATTTTAAGCAATAATATCACACGTACACACGATTTGTATTACAACGGTAACGACGAATCCTTCGATTACACTCGTGTTGCATACATTTATAATATGGGTTTCATGAAAATTTCCGATTTCGAAATCGCCATGGATGTTACAGTGTCTGACGATGTATTAATTTCCATGCCGTCAGCATTCGTTATGAGAAAAGGATTTCCCCATAAAGAATATTTCAACAAAATGTAAGTTCTATTTTAAATATACGAATTCTTAAATTAAAAATTTCGTAATTACGCTTTATATTTATTTCAGAATGTACAATATATTCGAAAGTGGCGTTCGAGATCATTACACAGAAGTTGACTCGTGGAACAACCCGCTTACGAAACTAGTTAAGAAGAGAGCTGCTATGAGTAAAGAAACAGAGCCTCATGTTGACCCCTTGGCATTAAAGAATTTTTATGGAGCCTTCGCAATTCTTGTTATCGGTTACCTTCTGTCGTTCGCTTGCTTCCTTGTCGAATTAATAATTGGAAAAAAGATGAAAAGATTCCAACTTTAAATTTTACGCAATTATACCCTTAACCGTTCTAGTTCGAAATGTTTTCTTTCGTGTTAAATATATAAATTTATTAATCCATAATATTCACTTCCTTCTCCGTTTTTTTTGTTTCTTCCGTATAATCGAATCTGTGATTTATCGAAAGTTTTGCATTTGGTTTTAGATATTCTAAAATTTTTCAATATTAAGTAAGAAAATTACATTTTGCTGTTTTCTAATTTTATATTTTCTAAACTTTTGTGATAAAATTATCTTATAAAATAAAACTCTTCACCTGTAAGCTGAATCCCAGTGTTATGTTTTAAAGGTGATTACAAAACATTTATTAGAGTAGATACAAATACCACAAGATGATATTCGAATCAATAATTAATATTAATTTTCACAGCCATAATTTTATATTCACGATTTCTTTTTAATAATCGTACTAATATAATTGATTTAGTCTACTTTTTATATAATTTGAGCATCGACGTCTACATTACTCCATTGGAATTTTGTTATGATTATTAACTATTTATAATTTATATCATTTTCTTTGTTCAGAGTAGAGCATTGTCAATAGAGCATTACAATGTCGTTAATCAATAAGCGTATTGAATTTCAGAATGTGGGATGAAGTTAAAAGCTAAATTTATTATTATTGAACGAAATGTTTAAATATGGAATTACTAGTTAACATAGTTCATAGTCAACAGAAAAAAATGATTACAAATTGCAATTACAGGTACATGGTTAGATATTAGTTGTAAGATGCTTTCAATATGAAATTTGTTGAAAAATGTTTAACGTAATAAAGTCAGAGTAAAATTTTCCGTTTTCTTACTTTTCTCGTCAAATATAATATCATAATAGCACGAAATAACATGATTTCTTTTGTATAAACTGCATTTACAGCCACCCACCTGTATATTTATAACTATCGAAAGCTTATATATAGTGAAAACATAATGCAGGCACTTTGTCCGTTTATGTAGAAGAAATGAAATACGTAGAATATTTATTCAATAGATAATACTAGCCTTAAACTTTTGTAGGTGACTTAAAATACGCGTTTGTTGGTGATTTAAAAATATTTATAAAACATTGCAATTATTTTCCATCAAAACGTGTTTTTTGTACATTTCTGTTACATACAACTTCTAGAGTAGATTTGCTGTGCTAATCGCTCAAACCGTTTCTTGTAATTTTTTAAAATAAATGGCATTAAATAAAACACAATCGAGTCTATCTGAGGTGGAAAATTTGCTGAACCTCCCTGGTTAATTAGAATCGATTTACTGCAACACAGAGCCGATTCTAAGTATTTTTTACCTGTATGTACTGTACACCCACACATTAACGCTTCTGTCAGCGATATGTATGGAACATAGCCTTGGAGATTCAATAATTAGACGTTGTCAGTTTGCACGTAGTCTTCAATTGAGGAATAGTAATACAATGTTCATAATACAGGGAGCAAATAAAAGTTTAAAATATTCTATGCAATTGGTAATTGAGCTTGTTTCTGGTTTACTCACAAGCCATTGCCAATGTCGCCTATGAGCGAAACCAGCACTGCGGAACATAAGAAATCTGAACGCTTGAAATACCTTGTAACAGAAAACTTAAAGTAAACATATTTCTTGTCATCGGTAGAATTTTGGTTTTAGACAGATACATTCATTTTGAAAGTTATTGCTGTCAAGCTGCATTGTGAATTATGCTTACTTGTCTCTCGATCCAGTGCAACTTCGTAACATTGCGAACAAATAGTAGTACTATCTATTGTACACGAAAACAGTTACAATAAATTGATAAAATGTAAACATTTATTAAAGAATGTAACATTTTTTTTTCTTTTTGTCAGGATTATAACTGTTATTATCTTATTGTTATCACGATCATTTCAATCACGCTTTATTCGGTTCACTATGTGTGTTAAAATTCATGTAATTACATATCAATATTATTGGTGTTAATAATGATTAATAAAGCACAGTTTTAAATCTTACACGGTTTTGTATGTTAGTCATTACATCTGATGCGCAATATTAAAGTAAAAATATTTATAAAGTAAAACTGTTACAGCCGGAGAATTTTCTAATTAATATAATGATAACTAATTTGTTAAATTCCTTGATAATGTAAAATTGGATACAGTTATAAATTTTAGCTTATTCTACGCCTTAGTAGTTACAAGTAACTTCGTTCGATGTTAGAATAATTAATAAAAAACAATCCTTCTCTGCCTCCTCCGAGTTCCTTTGAGAGTCAATCTGAGTTGTCGATTCACTATCAATATCATCGATCCACTCGCTGTTTTAAAGTTATTTTTTGACTTAAATTTGCTAAATCCAATTGTTAGCGAGACGAATCCTTACGCACTGCAACACCCGCAATCATCCAGGTATCAGTAGGAGCCTGTTACAGTGGTCGAGATATATACATTTCTGGCTATCTGTATCTTGTAGGGAATTTTAAAAGAATCCGGATGAGAGGATGTATTGGTCCACGAATGATTTATTTAGCACACCAATTTTTCCTAAACTTATGTCTAAAAATAATTTGCAGAGATTAACAAAATTTGCACTTCACGGATAATGCATCGTTTGATCTGTCCATCTCCTAAATTGAACAAAATTTTAGCTTTAGTAAATGATCTAAATTCTAAATTTTCGAGTTTATACGAACCAGATACAGACATAACTGTGGACGAGTCGCTCTTACTATTTCCTAGAGATAATACATATCTCTCAAACGGTCACGTTTCGGTGTGCAATTCTTTATGTTATGTGAATCCTCATTAGGATATCTATACAAATTCATAATTTACACCGGAAAAAATACTATACTGTTTATTCAGAACTATTACTTGTTACCAATCAGCAAGATGCTGAGCAGCAGGAATCCTTGTGCATTGTTTTTGGTGACGTATACATTAGTTAAATAATTAATATGAAGACAATAAATTTTGGCATGACCATAATACCCAAGAATATTTACAGTAGTAAGATATATACAATTATAAACAAGGTGAGTATTATGAGGGAAAAGTATACAGAACAAGCGCAAATAAAAAAAAAGTTAAATAATATTTTTATACTGAGTATAGATATTAAGTGAGTTATAAAAAAAACTATTTACAGCATTAATATTTCGGCTTTCACATTTTACAAACATTGGCACTTATAATTACAGAAAAATTCATATAAAAACTGTACAATTACGAGTTATTATAAAATAGAGTTGATTCAAAGGTTACATAATTATACAGAAATAATTTTATGAGTATAACAGTTACAATAACAGTTTTTATTTTTTACATACAAAGGCGTAGGTGATTACAATTACAGTCGAATCAGAAGTAGTTTTATTGCCACTGATCATTAAATACAAATTTATTATTAACATTTTTCCATATAATATTTTCAGTGCCAAAGTGTATACCGCGTTGTGTTCCCTTTCAGAAAAGTTTTTATAGTCAGCTTTTAGTTTGAAGTTTGCCTCATCACAAATTTTATTTGTTACAAAAGTTGCGTTTGATTTTTTATTTTCAAAAATAAGGGCGCATCTCACTTTCTAGATGACCCTCTTTGTCAAAGCAGTAACCCAATTAATTAAGTAATTATTTTGATTTATAACAGAAAAATTAAAGTGAAACTTTACGTTTTGCCAGGAGATACAAGTATTAAAAATTTTGTCTACCCAGTGCCAAATTTTTTCAGCGATGTGGCACTCAAAAAGTATGTGATAGATTCTCTCATTGTGATCACACCGAGGACAATGAGCAGTACTTACACGCTGGTGGGTGTGAAGATACTCCGTAGTCATTACGATGTTCAAAATTTTCTACGTGAGTTCTCTCCACTCAGCAGGAAGCCTCCCAACATTTACCCAGGTCTCATTCCAATTGATCGTAATATCTATGAGATTTTTCTTCATACTTTGCTTATGAATGTTCATGTAGACCAGTTCAGTATTCCACAACCAGTGTGTCGTCACAAGGTGAAAGGTGTGAAGTGAACTTTTACGTAATTCCATTAATTTCAGTCTTTATTTATATATTTTTTATCACAGTTGTTGTGTTTCTTATGATTCTATTTCATTCGCTGATGAAATAAGATGATGTTAAAGCACTAAAACACATATATCGTCCCAGTACTCACGTATTCTTTTGGAGTTATACATTAGACTCACACAAATCTTGAGCAACTCCAAAGGAAAACAAGAACAACACTTACTAAGCATGAACAACATCATCTTAAATCTGCCATAGAAAGATTAACCCTTTCACCTAAAAATGGATGACGTGGCCTGATCGACATAGTTAACCTACACTACAAACAAACACAGACATTGCGAGAGTTTTTCTACAAAAAACAAGAAGCATCACAGTTACATAAAGCAGTAATTTTAGCAGACTCAAATAATACACTATTAAATTTACATTCACAACATATGGACACGACACAACATATAAATAGCATAGACACCATTAAGCAATCATGGGTGCGAAAGGTACTCCAGTTTTTAAAACAATTCATGTCCATCAGTATCAGATGTTTCTCCTACTGTTAGAGGTATTAACGAGTTGCTGTATTGCTTCAAACGTTCACAATCACTAGTTTCTTTTAATGTTTTTATGTTATACATGAAACGCAATATGCTCTCATGATGTTTAAGTGCCTCAAATCTAGGTTGGCCGCTTGCGCGCACATTGTCGACAATGACATAAAAATAGTTCATTTTGAAAATCTCTTTCGCAGGCAATTCAAGAGCTTTATCTTCTCTGTCATAATCAAAATTTGTTCTTTTACGTCTCATTCTCACCACTTTGAACTTTCTGTGAATATCATTTTCCTCGGCTATTTCTCTCGCTGTTTCCAAAGATGATTAGAAACCATTTTTCCGTAAGCATCAAGCCTATGTGTTAATGCGTCTTGGTGTTGTATTGCCGCTTCTAAATGCATTTTTCACTCTGCCACATTTATAACATTTATCTTTGTAACAATGTCATACCATACGACAACAGCAACTACAAATTCGTAGGTAGTTATTTTCTTTTCTATAGAATGGCATTCACTAATCAACTGACAATCTGTTGTATTTTCT